TTTTTCATGCTATGTTTAATAGCATCGCCATCATGTGTCATTATGTACAATACAACTTGAAGATCACAGTGATCCTCATGCCCGAAACACATTTATTACAATTTTCCAAATTTAAGGACTAGCATGGTTGTGTGTTGTTCCTACACAGAAAACACTGAGTCATAATAGACAAAGACCTTCTTTGTAATGAAGTTACACTGTGTGCTTCTCAGGCATGGTGTCATCACCACAGGGCTATGGGTTGTTGGTATTTTTTGGAGGACCGCATGCAAGTATATGTCGTAAGTATGATATAAGCAGTCTGACGCCATTTAGTTTTGATCATGAGTTCACCCATTGTGACATTTTAGCTCCTTATGGAGAAGAACCAAAATCCAGACACAACCTAAATGACATAAATAACAAAGTACATAAACAAAAATAATCCTTTAATGACTGATTTCCCCCTAAAAAGAAAAGAAAAAATAGGAGAGGATAACAAATAGAAGTAAACACGGGAGATAAAAGGAACGTGTTAAGACAAGGAAGGATTGGATCAGATCAGGGATCTCCTCCTTAGTTTGAATGCTGGTCTCAGCTGTGTCTTCAAAGATATACACAAAAATGCAAAATTAGCATTAGTAATATGCTAATTTTGTAATATGTTGACACTATTACTGTCTATATTGTTACAATGGTAGTCATTTATGTCTGTAATGTTATTAGTTGCTATAAACACAGTGGTTTTGTTAAACGGTACTCAGGTAGACTATAAGCTGACACAGTGAACTACCTGACTTAGACAAATGTCTCTATTTTTAGACCTTTTCACTGTTTCTTATGTTATTGTATGCAGGCATAGAAAATATTGTTTGATCAGCAAAGCTTCACAGGACACATGGACAATGAGCCAAAATATTTGGGGAAATCAACCCACAGGTTTCTGGGAGGAAACAGGTGAGAGCTGATGGAGCTCCATTTAACTGATGTGTAGCCAGCGGCGGTGAGTTCGGAGTACAGGCAACCCCGGGATTCCAGTATACCCCAGAAAGGAGCGCCTTGAGAACTCTGCGGTTTCTAGGGGAACGATGCAGAACGAGCTCATGGGATACTTGTTTTCTCTCGTGAGGGAGGACGTCATCAGCCCAGAGCAGAGCAGGGCTGTTGTGTCAGTCCAGACAGATGAGATCATGGATATTGCCACACAGTACCTGCTTGTGCTTGTGCTGTGTTATGTTGATTGTGAAGGGGAGAATTTTGAGCTCATCCCTCTGTAGTCATCTACAGCTGATTCCATTGCTACAGTGCTAACGGGCTCCATACCGCCATCCTTCTGAGAATAAGGACACAAGGACACTGAGAATTCTGCAGAAATTCTGGTTATTGAAATGTATTTTCCTCAAGCCTTTGAATTAAAATAGAAAGTCGTTGTCTTTTAGATACTATACTTATTATATTATTCAATCTTTAATTTTTATTTCAGCAGACATCTAAAATACAAAGACATTTCCAAACAACCTACTGCAAGTAAACACACTAACAGTCGTGCCCAAAGCTTGCTGACACATGCAGAACTTCAAGCTGCTGGACAGCATTGTCTCGTTTCTCCTTTCCTATTGGGCAGCTCCCTTTGGAAGAGGGTAAGCCTCTGTTTAGCAGCACGCCTCAGGCATACCTGCTCGACAAGGACCTCATGTTGACCTGAAAGCACCTGCCATTGTAGAGACACGTGACAAAGCAATTCAGCAACCGTGCCCAAGTTTAAAAAGGTCTTTTTTTTTCTTTTTGGATATTCTGAAGTATTACTAATATGAAGCATTTAACACTATGTCCCAAATTTTGTTAAAACTATCACAAATAAATAGAAATGAATTTCTATTTAAAACATTTGATATCAAAAAGCAGTAAAATGGTCAGGGATGGCCTGATCACATCACTGGTGTTATTGGACAAGAGTACTGGACAGGTCACCAGCCTATCACAGGGTAACTATAGGTTAGTACTTTAAAAACCTACTGTCTTGACTCGGGGTGATTGCAGTCATCTCCATCTTAACATCGCAAAAACCAATGAGATGGTTTTAGACTTCAGGTGAGGTTGGAGGAGGACCTAACCAACACCTATAACCACCATTAATGTAGTGTTCAGCCACAGATACCTTGATGTGCAGTTGCACATTAAGTTGGACTGGAAGAGCCATATGGAAGCAGTGTACACTGAGGGACAAAGACAATTTAATTTCCTAAGGAGGCTACAGGTATTCAACATCTGTCAACCTTTGCTCCACAGTGTCTACCACACGGTGGTGATTTGTTTGATGCTGTGGCCTGCTGGGGAGAAAGGGGTCCACACAGCACACAGGAATAGAGTAAACAAACTTATCAAGCAGGTCGGCTCTGTGCTCGGGTCTGAACTTGAGAAAGTCCAGCAGGTGGCAGAGAGAAGGATGCTCTCGAAGCTGAAATCAGTTACCATCAACTCTGCCCAATCTCTTCGTGCTCCGGAGGTTATCGACAGTAGCATCTTCACTCAAACACTGATTGCACCAAAGTGCAAGCCTGAGCATCTCAGGAGGTCCTTTATACCCGCTGCTACAGGACTGTTTAATGCACAGTAATCATAAGATGATTTTATCTGCATGTTTGCATATTTGCACATTGGTTATTGGCCAATTTAATTATTTTTATATGTTATTAACTGTATTCGGAATTGATATTGTTTAGCTGTTTGGGATGCGTCGACTGTATTAAAGCTGCAGTGGCAATGCAATTTCCTGTGTGAGCACCAGGTTTTATTCAACAAAGTCCCCCTCTTTTGTGCTACTTCTTTTAAAAATCATAGAATACATATTCCATATGTTATACTACCGTTGAGGTCTGGATTGAAAATTGAAAAATATGCCATTCTCTTGAAATAGCACTGCACAACGCACATTAAATCAGTTTACACAACAATACAAAGAACAAAAAAACAAAACATGAGCAACTCTATCAGTAGTAGGCAGTTTAAATGTTAGTGCAGGTGTGTCAAGGAAGTGAAAACATAAACTACAGAATTATTTTTTGGCTTAAAATTGTAGAAATTACTTTTTAAATGTTAGCCAAAGGCCACAACATAATGCCTGTTTTATTAAGTCAAAGCACTGGGAAGCAGACGTTTAATTAAATTGAATCCATTCATAAATTTTAGAACTGAGCTAACCTTTTTCTCTTCTCTCTCACATTTGCTGAAAGCAAAGAGATTTGAGGGGCATTGCTTTTTACACCAAATGAAATCAGCATCTTGTTAAAAGGCAGTCACTGCTGTGGTAAAGTGAGGTGAATGAATTGACCAAAGTGTGTGGTTACAAAGGATTCAGTAGCTTAAGTCAAGTCAAGTCAGAAGGGATTTTGAGTCCATCCCGGGTCACTCTGTTCACACAAAACACTAGAAATGAGCTGCCAACGGTGACTGGGCTTCCCTTAGACACAAGAAGAGGAGCTTGGTAATTCGTGCGTCGGGGGCTCGGGGGGTGTCAGAGTAGAGCCGCTACTCCTTCCACATCAAAAGGAGCTAGTTGAGATGGCTCAGACATGTGACTGGGACTGGGAATGGATGATGGATATTTTGACTGCATGATTAATGTGGCTGAAAGAATGAACTTTTATTATATTACCTGTATTTTTGTGTAACTCAACAAAAGCAGTTTAAAAGAGCAATTACACATTTTCTGGTTAATTCATGTGATATTAACATATTTCATTTTTAAATATCTTTAGTGTACAGGTGGAATTATTTCTCAGATTTTGTTTTAATAATTGACAGCTGATAGTTAACACTATTGTTCTTTTCCAAATTAATGCCAATTCTTTGATAATCATGTCGCTCCTATATGATATCAAGTGGCCTGGGATGAATTATCGTTTCACTCCCTACGTTGATTTTATTTATGAGCTTTCAGAAATTAATGAGTCAAAACATATAACCTCTGTTGCTCTACACAAATAATTTCCCCAACAAGTGACCAAAATTATTTTAAAAAATCTATTATCAGTGCTTAAAAACTCATGAAATTTTGCACATCCATCTGAAGTGGTGACAGTTTACTTACTGATCTTGCATGTTTGTATGGCGATGTGGTTCTAACGATGCAATTTTGAGGAACGCTTTTGCCATTTTCAGGTGTTGTATTGAATTTTTATGAACTCTTTCTAGGGCTTATTCTTTTGGAGTTTCTTGATCCACTGGCAATCTGCTACCCTGCCTTTTGAGTTACGATAGCTGGGATAGGCCCCAGCTACCCTGCAACCCTGAATTGTATAAGCAGAAGAAAATTATTGGCTGAATGGATGGATGGGTTTCCTTGAAGAGGAATGTCATTGTGTTATTGTAGATCTGCAGGGTTAGCAGCAACGTGAGGTATAATTAGTGGGTATTCCCCTGATACCTAGTGGGGCTAAAAAGCCATATTGGTGCACCAATCAATAAGAGTCTAGGGCTAAAAACACACCCACATGAAAACCCACAACCACAGCACGTGATTACACATTGCAGATTTTCAAATGTAGTTTACTTGCTGCAAGGTTTTGCTCATTTCTTACAACTTTTTTAAATAGAAGCTTAATTTTACTTTAGAAATTACTCGTTTGTTTAGCTTAAGTCAGTTCATCTAAATTAATTAATCATAACCTTTGTTATTGTTTCCCCGATCACATTCAAATGCTAAAATACTACCCGACGACCAATTTCAGCAAACAAGCCATTTTAAATATCATCGCAAACAAAAGCACAATACAAAAAAAGGGAGACCATAAACTCCATAAATTCTTCACACAGTGTTCAGCAGCAGAGCCCGACCCTCTCCCCTCAATCCCCCCGCCAGGGTTAGGTTAATACACCCGTCAAAAGGAAAGGGCTTAAATACATTAACTGGGTGAAACCCATCTGTCAGCCACAGCGGGGGCTGCTGGGGACGGTGACATGTGGACGATGCGTCCGTGGCCCTTTAAGAAACTCCATGTTTTCTCTAGGCTACATGATGCGTCAACACAAAAAGCGGATGATGCTGTTATGTAAAAACATGCCAAAGTGAGCCGTAGTTTGCAGGATTTCTGCGGAGTGCCGAGTGCGCCTCGCTCCGTCTTATTAACCTCTGCTTTAGTTCTAAGTTTACCGAGTGGCGATTTTTACGCGTAGAGCGTGGAGCGGCGCAGATCGGAGCAGGAGAGAGGAGAAGAAGAAGAAAAAAGGCTTCAGCCGATCAACTCAACATGAGTCGCCCTCCGCACGGTTTTCCTCCTTCACTTGCGGGAAGCGTACACCTGACGCATCACTCTCTCTTGCCGTGGAACTGATCTTCCTCTCCAACATATCGACTCCCACTGGGTTATTTTCCACTTTGCGAAACGGTAAGACGCGAAAGCGTTTCAACTCTTATCGCATTCGAGGCAAAACTGAAAGTGTCAGGCAGGACAGGATCGAGAGAGAGGAGGCAGCTCGGGTTGGAATAATGTGTCAGCTATTGACAGATAGCAGATCCTTCTTGTTGCCGGGGATCTGTAAAACCCTCGGAGGTAACTTTCGGAGACATCTGTTGTCAGTGGTGTCACTTGTGCAGGTGGCAAAGCTGCCTCTTTTTTTAATCGGCCAAACGCTGGGCAGCAAGGCTCGATCGGCTGAGACTCCCAGCTCGTGATCGCAGAAAATGTCACGCAAGCAGCTTCAGTTAGAGTCAAGTTTGAGGCTCGGCTCTGTGTTGGAGTTTGTATTTGTGGGTTTGTAAGAGCAGGGGGGGACATGGAGATCCTCTTGGAACATGTAAGGGGTTGTTTTTTTGTTTTTCTAAAGCATGCCGATTAGTCGGATCTGAGGGGTTTATTAATCTTTTATATACTTTCAAGCTAATGATGCCACCAAAGTAAACATTTAGTGGCATTTTGGACGATTTAAACGTTGATTTACTCAGGAAAGATAAACAAACCGATGTTAGAGTTTTATGTGGTTTAATCCATCTACTCCATACAGTTGAAAGTTCTCTGCAGGTTACTTATTTAACAGCTGTAGTTTCTATAAAAGATTATTAATGCTTTGTTCGCCTACTTGTGTGCCTTTTCACTGCGGTTTTGGCACTTTTACTCAGGTAAAACATCTGAATACGTCTTGCATTACCGCTGGTTTGACAGAATAAGCAATCTGAAGGTTTAACTTGGACTGTTTTGCACTTTTCCCTGACATTTCATAGACTAAACAATCAGTAAGTCAAGGAAATGAAATGCCATAATCTGGGAAGAATCATCTCCTGCTGTTAAAGGCCACTGGAAAGTGCAGGCTTTTCATATGACATGAGCTTTATAATACAAGTTGCCTGGTGAGTTCCTGGGCATAATAGTGTTTGTAAAGGCTCTTGTGAGCAGAAGAGCCTGACAATAGAGCGCCAGCTTTGGAGGTCGTGGTAGATTTGTGTCTGGTCGGTTCTCCAGCGTTACCTTGACAGGCTTGCTATAGCAGCATGTTGAATAGCGTTGCGCTGCCCACACGTGAGCCATAAAGCTGGATATCAATCCAGGACTTAATCCCATTATTGCTGAAGAACTGCCCTGATGTGGCCACGGAAGAAAGACGCACTGACCTCCCAGATGTCCCAGAGGAGACGAATACCTCCAGCCTGCAGTCGGGACACATGTGGTCAGAAGAAGAAGGAGGAGGAGGAGAGGGCAGAAATGAAAAGAATAGCTGTTAGCAGACTAACTGAAACAGTGGCTGTGTTGTCGCCCATTTATCATCTTTAAAAATATATTTCACTTGTTGAAAAGATCATCTGAAAGTGAAACAATTTCCGCCTACAGCTGCGTAGGAAAAGCACATTGACAAGTCCCAATTTTCCAAAACATCGCTGTGTGGTTGTCATCACACTGTAATTCCCCACAGAGTGATGTTAAATATTGTCTAATAGAAACACCACTTTGGGCTGTTTTTTGGTTTTTTTTGTAACAGTTTAGTTTTTTTAATTTGCTTTTTAATCTAATATCTGTTGTTACATTTTCAAGATTTGTTTTCTAGCAGAGAAACTTTGAGGTAAAATGTATTTCTAAAGAATTATTTAGGGAGAACATTAGAGAAATCCATTTCCTGTATTTACTTACTTATTTACTAAGTGAAGAACACAAGTCGTTTCTTCGTGATCACAGTGCAGTCCAAACCAGCTGAGTTTAAAGAGCACTTTATGTTAAAAATAATCATGCTTATCTGAGCTGCCTTCATGCGCTGAGCTCAGTAAGTGAGCTTTTTTGTTTCTAATACCAAACTTACTTCTTATAAAGCCCTAAAATTAACTTTACATAAAGCAAGAACCAGATATGTTTTCATATAATACATCTAAAGGAACCAGCTGACACACAGAGCTACCTGGGAGCTTTATCCTTAAACCCTGACCCAGCAGAGTTATGAAACCTCAGAGCAGGTGCCCACTGTCCTCTGCAGGTAACCCAGCCTCAGCTGAGATGTGGGTGTATGATGGGATTCCAAAGAAATGCAAGTGGAACAGAAAGTAACATCATTATTTTATTTTGTACAAAGCCACAGGTTAGTTGGCCTTATTGGGAAGAAAATAGGGCAAATAGTGAAGTTTAACCCCCAACCAGTGTTGCACATAGCCAGGCTGACCTGTAATTATGTCTTTATTGACATTATAATGAGGTCAATTGCTGCGATCGTTGATTTCAGCCGTTACTTGACCGAATGCCATCGTAACCACAAAAGAAGTGCTTGTTACAGGTTAACATACAATTTACAGAACTTTAAAATGTTTTACAACGCTAATGAGTTTCCTTCTTATCCCTGTTCACTGGTATGAATATTTCTCTGTACTGAATGAGCAGCGAACCTCGGGATTAGCAAAGCTGCTCTGTAGCCCTTAGTTGTCTAAAAGCCATTAGCCAGCCCATACTGCTCTGCGCTCTCTTTCCCCGACTCACGCTGGCACAGTTCCAAGACACAGCTGTGAAAATTACAGGCCTGCTTCATGGAAACATAGAAGAAGAGGAGGCAGGGCTGGTGTGGAAGGGAGGAGAAGTGGAGCAGAGATCCACAGACTGCTGTCAGCTGTCCACTGGTCCACAGCTGCAGTGGAGATTTTAGAGATGGTGTCTCACTCACTTCTACTTCTGACACATACTGGGATTGTTTACGTGTGTGTGTGTGTGTGTGTGTGTGGGTTTTGATGGAGGCATTACAGTAAATCCTGTTTGGCCGTGACTAAACAGAACAGAAGTCCTCCCTGTGACTGACAAACGTCAGGCTCCTTCAGCGAAAAGCACATGGCACCAAGCGTCCTTCAGTTTGGCAGATGCTAAAAGCATGACTGAGACCCTGGCAGGTGGGCAGGCGGGCACCCCCACCCCCTCCTCACTCACTCCTCAGCTCCTCAGACCTCCTCTATCAGAGAGTCATTGTTCATGATGATGATGACAATCTCTCACTGTCTCCATTCACCGTGCTATCTCAATCCATCACTCTCTTGTCTCTTGCCTCCTCCCTCCATCACTGTCTCACACACATTCTCTTAAATACCCCCCCCTCTTGTTTTCCCCTGCTCTCTCACAAAGTCTGTGTCTCTGTATCTCTGAAGAGCTGTCAGGCAAAGAAAAGCAGGAAGCTGAATGTAAAAGGAAAAAAAAGCCTCTCTGACTTCTACTGAGTTTGACTTTTCTTCTGCTCAGTGAGATGTAAGAGGTGAGATCCTCTCCTCTCCTCTCCTCTCGTCTCCTCTCCTCTCCTCTCCTCTCCTCTCCTCTCCTCTCTGTTGCTTCACTTTGATCTTCATCAGTATCTCTCCATCTACTTCTCTTTTTTCCCCCTCTCTCTTCTCCCCTTTTGCTAGTCAGGCAGCCTGGCATCTTGCCCCGTCTCTTTGAAGCAGAACAGTAGAAGCAGATAATTACACTTCCTGTCCTGTATCTGCTCTGCGTTGCTCAACTGTCATCTTTACATCGGTAGGCTACACGTTGAAGATGATAAACAGCTTACAACCAGTTTTGAGCTCGAAGCGCTGCTCTGTGTACATGACACATTCTCTTTTGAAGCTGTGTTTTGCCTCTGCACGTGTGCAATTAAGATGATTTTCGTCTATCATGTTTATCAGTTTCTTGGCTGTTTTTAAAAAGCTTCCGTGTATCCCCCCTGCCTGCGTCAGACTGAATTGTGCACCCTGTCTTCCTATTTCTAACAGAAATGGTCAGATTAAGTTAAAATTGAGTTTAAGATTAGGCTTTAAAATCTTTCCTAACCCATGCAAACACAATCACATGATAACCAGCTATTTGTCACATTGCTGCTATCAGCCAAGACTGACACAAACACTTCTCTCGCACACACGCTCCCTTTAGAAAGCCCCTGGTAAACAAACAGTCTGCAGCCAAACAATGACAGGTTGCTAAAGTGGTTAGAGAGATATGCCCTGCTGAAAAAGTCCATTTTGTTTTAATGACAGGAGATTGGTGTACACGGCACTTCCTCTTCTGTTCTTAAACTGACTCTTCCCATTCATTAGCACTGCTGGTACTTTTTTATTTTAATCTCTAGGGTGTCACCCAGCTGTTTTATGTGGAGCTTTGTGCGGTTGTATGTGATTTTCATTACATCATTCTTGCATTCAGGCTTTGCTGGTGTGTGTAACAGTCACATTATCTGCTGTGGGTATCGCTGTCAGGCTCAGAGCTGCTGTGCAGCCAAAAAACTGTAGGGAAAATGACAAACTGACCATTAGTCTCAAATCAGCCACTTGTAGCTAGCCTGAGAGTGAGGACACCTCGGCTAAGAGTCATAAGAGCTGCAGCGAATGAACTCCAGAGAATACCACAAGCAGGTTTTGAGCAACAGTAGAAACTGTATTTGCATCAGCTCCACTGGTACACGATGTGTCGGTCAGTTTGAGCAGGCAAAGCGAGTCGTGGACACAAAACCAGCATTGCGTAGTCAGGCAGCTGGGCAAAGGGCACATGACCGATCTGAATCAAATGTCTCCCCACGGACTGTGTTGAACCCATGTGGTGACATAATAGGTTGAGTGCATAGTTCAACTCAAAAGGCCTAAATCATACATTTCTGTTTCCTGTTTTTTTGCTGCACGTTTATTCTTAAAGATCTGACCTGAAGGTATTATTTGTGCCTGTGTCACTGTTGTTAGGCAGTGCATTCACATCTAAGTGTGGCTTCCTAACTGTGCTGTCCTTGCCTTGCCAGTCCGCTACAGCACAGCTTGAACTGTGAAAATCTTCCACAGCCCACCCAAACCTTTAGTCACAACCAACTCAAGTGATTTTATTTTTAAATTCCCAAAGTATTTGATCATATAGAATTTATAACTTAAAACTTTTAATTATGATTAAATATTCAGTTAAGAGTTTTCTAA